CCCCAAAACCCCAAAACCCCATTGGATCATCATTTATTTAAATTTGTTATCTACAAATACTTAATATTAAAATCTTCAATTAATTTCATGATATATATTAAAATCTTCATAAAATTCTCCTAGTTGTAAAATTCCACTTCTTTGATTACTTCCTAGTACGCTAAAATTATGTTAATTTTGTTGTTGTGGTATTAAGCTAGTTTTATTTATTTATCTGAGAAGCAGACTGTGTTCATTTGATAAATGCAGAAGGCATAGGAAGATCATGTGTAAGGATACATTCTACTCAAATACTAGACTATCAATATTGTTCATAATTAAACTTGTCAAACTGAAATCCTATTCTGGCTCTAAATTTTTTACCTCTTCCACAATCATTTTCCCAACTTGCTTTTTTATTATTTTCTTTTGTTATTTATGATCTATTTGAGGAAGAAGTGGTTCCAAAACTTTCCAAATCTCCTCTTTTAAAATTTTTAAATCTACTTTTTATGTATTTATAGTTGCCTATAACTTTTCATTTTCAATTTGAGATTATTCATTTTGAGTTTATTTGTCTAGAATATGTTGGAACAATTTGAGTTTTTTCTTTTAAGGCAAGTTTTCATTATCTTAAGGTAAATTTGCTATTTTTTCGCTCTATAATCCTCCTATGAGGGACTAATTCACTAAGATAATCTCCATTTATATCCTGACCATTTTCATTTACAGTAGTCATAACTCTATTAGTATTTTCCTAAATAAATGACATATGAGAACTTTCATTGACATCATTATTCATTTGAGACCGATTTGATAATTAAGACATCTCTGGCTTTTTATAACTGAATGCACTTGTAATGCTGATACTGCTTCCAGGATCTTCAGGATTCAAAAATTGAGCTGGATTGTTAAGTTCTTCTTAAATTGATGCCCCTACTCCAAGATATTACTCATAAATTTGCATATCAATTGCTGTATTATTACCAAAAGCAGAGAAATTAGTTTTTGAAATATCAGATTACTCCTGTGCCTGTTTGATGGATCAATTTCAGCAATCTTTAGCCATGTCGTCCTAGAAAAAAGTCTAGACAATCGTTTTAAAGGATGAGTTTCGTAAAATTATAAGGCAAACCTTTGAGCGTTTTTAGATGCTATATTCTTCATATCATTTGGTTTATATCTATCAAGATGCTAAGGCCTTATATCTTTACATCTTGTTTCTTTCAAATATTTTTCAATTTATAGTCCTGCTGAAACAGAGTTTTTTGAAATTTAAGATTGACTTTGAGCTTTTTTTATCTTATCCCTTTAGGTGGAATCTTATGAGGGCTATACTTAATCATATGATTTTAGGACTTCATCGTCTATCATTCTCTTTTTAATTTCTCGCTTTTGTTTTTCTCTTCTCAAAATATCAGAATCAAGACAACTGTCTCCATCCTTGCTCACCAAAGATCTCCTAAGATCATCAAACACTTCTTACTTCCCTGTTCCTAATTAATCTTTAATCTTGAACCTGCCATCTAGGTTGAGGAGCTTTTGAGCATCCCTTAAATCACTCAATCTTGTTTAATCAATTTTTTCTTCTTGTAGTCTTTTATTTTAATTCTTTAAGTCTTCTGCAGTGACTGGGTTATCATTATTAACTGCTTGATTAAATAATTTTAGTTCTTCCTGGTCCTCTAACTGTGCTTATTGTCTTTCTAATTCAATCTCATCTTGAATTCTTTCATCATCATTCTGGTAGTCATAGTTATCCATTCCTTGATCTGCATAAGATGGATCTCTGCAATTTTATTATTCCTAGTCTTAAGTTTCCATATAAATATCATTATCAGATTATGCTTGTGCAAAGCCTTCCTCATATTCATTCATTTACATTTGAATTCCATTTGTATTAGATTCTGACTGCAATTAAGCAGCAAATGGATCATTAAATTTAGTGTGACTCATAGATTAACTATCAAAATCCCCTCCAATGAAGCAGCCATCATGATGTTATTGCTTAGGTTTGCTAGGATCATTAAATTATTAGGGTAGATTTGGTTAGGGTAATATCGGTGCAGCTTTTTTATTGTCATTCTCAATTACTTATTAAATAAATTTATCAAGTTCATCCATCTCTGTCATCATTTCTGATTAAATAATACTCATTTCGCTTTACGCTGAAATCTACTCTTGCTCCATTTATTTGTCTCTGTTTATTTTTTATTTTATCTTAATCCCTCCCATATACTCATATATCTCTTTTCTCTTTATATCAAGTTCTCTAGACATTCGCTACCCGCATAATGTATCGACTCCCTCCATCTTAAAGACCTATTTGCAGGAAAGAATATATTCAGAATTCCATTTTTAAAGCTTTAACTCATCTTCTTTCTCCTACTCGATCTCTTCAATGGACTTATCCTATTTTCTTTTATGTGGTTTCACCATCTTAATCCTATTAGCTTCTGCAACTTCTGAGTCAAGCTATATATTAAGACCTTTATCTACATTAGTAATATTGATCAAGAGATTCTTTGCTCCACTCTCATCAAATCTTGCAGTTCTCTATCTAAAAAGTGGATCAATTTCAGCTTCTATGTCAAACCTTGTGACATCTAAATTCTTGGAGTCTTTCTCAAGTGTCCTCTCTCCACCTGAGTATACAAAATTTTGACCTGGCTTTTTTATCCCTTTTTTAATTTATGCAGCTTAGTTTGATGAATCCTAATCTGCTAGATTATTCATAATTGTAAACAAATCTTATTCACTTGCTGGAGCACTTGAGCTATTTGAAGAGTCAACTTGATTTTTGGCAGCCTGTTCTTACCTATGCAGTCCACCTAATATTTTGTATGTTTCTTAATGAACTTAATCTACCCTAAATGCATAAATTTTTGTTCCAGCATCTAAAGAAGCACTTGCTCTAAGCCAAGATGATTCATTATCCCTTCTATCACCCAAAAGCATAGTTAAATTCTCAACAAAATCAATATCAAGATCAAAAGCATTTTTTGCATTTACCTTATTTTGAAATATCATATGGACAGCATGATCTGCATGCTATCTTGTTTAATCTTGTTAGGACATAATTTCTTTTTGACTAGAATTTTAAGCAGAGATTCTCATTTCTATATCCACATTTTAATAAACCTACATGGCAATATGATGACTATTTTTTTAATTAATTTTATTTTTACTGAAAGATATTTGGTTATTATTACTCTCGGGGTTTTGGGGTTTTGGGG